ATGTATGTATGTATGTATGTATGTATGTATGTATGTATGTATGTATGTATGTATGTATGTATGTATGTATGTATGTATGTATGTATGTATGTATGTATGTATGTATGTATGTATGTATGTATGTATGTATGTATGTATGTATGTATGTATGTATGTATGTATGTGTATGTATGTATGTATGTATGTATGTATGTATGTATGTATGTATGTATGTATGTATGTATGTATGTATGTATGTATGTATGTATGTATGTATGTATGTATGTATGTATGTATGTATGTATGTATGTATGTATGTATGTATGTATGTATGTATGTATGTATGTATGTATGTATGTATGTAATGTAATGTGTAATGTATGTATGTATGTATGTATGTATGTATGTAATGTAATGTATGTATGTATGTATGTAATGTATGTATGTATGTATGTATGTATGTATGTATGTATGTATGTATGTATGTATGTATGTATGTATGTATGTATGTATGTATGTATGTATGTATGTATGTATGTATGTATGTATGTATGTATGTATGTATGTATGTATGTATGTATGTATGTATGTATGTATGTAATGTATGTAATGTATGTATGTAATGTATGTAATGTATGTAATGTATGTATGTATGTATGTATGTATGTATGTAATGTATGTATGTATGTATGTATGTATGTATGTATGTATGTATGTATGTAATGTATGTATGTATGTATGTATGTATGTATGTATGTATGTATGTATGTATGTATGTATGTATGTAATGCGATGTAATTTAAAGTAATGTAATGTGATGTTGTGTAATGTAATGTATGTATGTATGTTTGTATCTGTCTGTATGTATGTCTGTATGTATGTATGTATCCTTGCACTTCCCCTTTGCTCCCCAGTATTTCCCGCAAAAAACACTGTTTTTCCAGCGTTTTCGCAAAGATGATGTCCAAAAACACAGAGTTTTTCCAGATTTTCGGCAAAAGGATGCAGGAAGCCCAAGCCAGCAAAAAAGCCGGCAGGGGGAATCGAGCCTGGGACCCCTGTTTTGCGACACCGGGTCCCCGAAGACTACGTTTAGTGGAACGTCATCAAATTGCCGCGCGGTCCTTGGGGGGGGGGGGCCCCCCCCCCCCACGTATCAGACGTCGGGTGGGGGGGGGGTTAGGGGGGGGGGTTATCCTCTATCCTCTCTTAGGTGTCCGACACGCCGAGCAATGTCGGCGGACATCAACTGCCGTTAAGACTGGTATGGTCTTCGGATCTTGTTGTGATTTGATGTAGGCAAAATCCACTTGGATGATGGGTTGTCGTGATTGTTGTTTCTTGTAGTTGTCCTGGCGTCCTTTGCCTTGAACGCAAATTGGACACCAATTTCTGTATGGTAGGTGTGTCAAGTTGTGTTCTGCTATTTGTTGTGGAGTGGGCTGCTGAGGTTGTCGTAGTCCTATTGCTCTGTGTGCTTCATGATGCTCGTGTTGTTGTTCCTCATCGTGGTTCTCCTGGATGTACTCGTAGTCTTTCTTCACGGTGAACCTTGTTGTTCCTTTCCATTGAAATGGTAGTGCTGCGTTGCCCATGACTGTCCAGTCATCTTTGCGTTGGGAAACTTCTCCAAAGTTGTTGTGAGTGATTGTAGTTCTGTGAGGTTCGAGTGTGCTGATTGGTGGATGTCCTGGTCCATCTGTTGGAGTGAATAGAGTTGTTCTAAGTGATGTGTGGTGTCTTATCCAGTGTTCACCTTGTCTTTCCCAGTAGTCTTGGTTGTCCTCCTGTGCTGTGAGTGGTCTGTGGATTGTCTCCTTTGGTTGTGTGGTGTCAAGATTTGTAGAAGGTGCTGCTTTAGGTCTCCATATCTTTTGTGGTGCTCGTAGTTGGATCTTTGATCTGGTTGGTGGTGTGTCCATTAGCCGTTGTGGTTGTGAGCTCTGCCTTGTTGGTGTTGTCTTTGATGTTGCTCTGCGTGTAGGTGTTATCTTTCTTCTGAATCTGGTTTCTCCAGTCCAGTTGTCACCTTCTAGTCTTCGTTGTAGTTCTTGCTTGGAAAGTTGTGTTGGGTTCTCTTGTAGTTGTTCTTGCTCTTGCCCTTGTCTGTTGATGATGGTTAGTCGCCAATCATCTAGTTCTTCTTCAGGTATTGGGCAACCACTGTTGTGTGGTGTGAATAGTGCTTTGCGTGGTCGTTTGTGTACTCTGATGGCGTAGTCACCATCAAGTTTCCAGTAGTCAGTGTTTCCACCAAGGATCTGTCGTAGTCCTTGGTCTGTGTGTGTGAGTGGTGCGATTTGTTCTTGTTGTTGCGCTGCTCTCTCTGTAGGTTGAATCACAGCAATGGATTTTCCACTGTCTGTAGTCATTGGATAGATGTCGAATCCTGTAGGGATGTCGATCTTCTCTGCTCGTAGGTAGAAAAGTCCTGAGTGTCTGATGAGGTGTGCTTGTTGTTGTCCATGTGTGATGGTGCAGTGTCGTGGAGTGAAGTCAAGTCCATATCCTCTATCAAGTAGTCTTGATGCACTGAGGATTGGGTACTTCACATCACAAACGTAGTAGGGTATCATGATCCTGAAGTTGTCCTGCTTGTAGGGAACGTACTTGATGCCGTAGACAGGAATCTTCTTGTTGGTAACCGTGTAGAGTTGTGGAACCGATTCTCCACAAGGTCGTAGCGGTAGGTCTGGTGCGTAGTCCTTCGGGCAAACGTGTGTAGACGCTCCTGAGTCGATCAGCAGGTGGTGGTATGACTTGAAGTTGGAGTACATGATGTAGTGTGTGATAGTGTTCTCAATCTTCTTGTTCCTTTGTTGTTGTCTGGCTGCTGCTATATCAAAGTGTGGTGGTGTGTTGTCTTCTTGTAGGAATTGTTGAAAGCTCTTGCTGTGGTCGTTCCATGATGCTGTGTGTGTTGCTCTCTTGCTAAGTAGTGATTTGTGCTTGTGTAGTCGTGAGTTTGCTTGTCTGATGTGTCCAATTGTGAGGTGTGACTCGTTGATGCCTCCCATGTAGTTTGCAGTGTCCTCATAGCTGTTGTCATTCCAATCCCAGCTGTTGTCATAGTCGTAGTCGTTCCAGTTCTCCTCCATGTAGTTCACCTCGTGTTGTCCTTCTTCTCCTTCGTAGTACCAGTCCCAAGTGTCGTTCACATCCTGAGGTAGTTCTTCATTGTTGTCGTGATCTGCTTGTTCTTGTTCTAGTGGATGTAGTTCTTCTCCTTCTCCTATGTGCCATACTGGCACTCTGCAGTCTTGTGCCCAGTGGCCTGGTTTGCCACATCGATGGCATGTTGTGTAATTGTTGTTTCCTTTTCCTTTTGATTTGCTGTAGTTTCCTTGGCCTTTGTAGCCTTTGCTTGATCCATGTCCTTTGGATCCTGAGTAGCCTTTTCCTTTGTTCTTGTTGTATCCTCCTTTGTTGTAGTTTCCTTTGCTGCCTTTGTCGAATCCTTTGTAGTGGCCTTTGCTTCTGTACTTACCTTTTCCTTTGTTTCCTTTGTAGTGTCCTTTGCCTCCATATTTGCCTTTGCCTTTGTAGTTTCTTCCTTTTCTCCAAATGTTGTCCACGTCCATCGGTGCTGTCCCACCATTGTAGTTTGTGCCAACTGCTGAGCTCGCTCTTGAGAATGCAGAGATGGTTTTGTAGTAGTCCAGGATGACAACTCTGATCTCGTTGTAGTTCGTGATCTGTCCAGCACGTAGTTGGAGATGCTGTTGGAGTGCTCCTTTGGTCTTGTTGAGTAGTATTGCAATCTTTACTCCATCTGGTAGTGCTGTGCCGTTGTCTTTCTCGTAGCGGTTGATGTCGTATTCCCACTGTAGGAATTGTTCTTCAAATTGTGCTTCATTGAATGTAGGTTCCAGTAGTTTGGTGAGGTAGCCAACACTGCGTGTTCCTACTGGTAGGCTGAACCTGTTGTGCAAAAGCCGTAGTGTTTCACATCCATTGGCATTGTAGCGGTTTTGTCTAACCACTGTAGCTGCTGCTCCTTGGCAGATGTTGATGAGGATGTAGTGTAGATCTCGTGAGAGGTCTACTGCTTTTGCTGCCTGTGTAGGGTCGCGTATGTGGGCTCTGATGTCTGCATCTTCAATTTGTCTTGTAGCTGCTTGTGCTAGTTGTAGCACCATGTCGAAGTCTCGGTCGATAAGTCCGAGATATGCTTGTAGTTTGAACAGCCACTCTTCATACTGTGAGTAGTCACCAGTGAAGAACGGTGGTGGCAGTTTGTATTTGTGTAGCCTTTGGACGTCTTCCTGCTCCTGTGTTGTTCCCGTAGTTGTGGCTCCTATTGTCTCTTCTGCTGTGGGCCCGTTGTCTGCTCCTGTAGTTGGTTGTGCTGATGCTGCTGCTGGTTCTCCTGACATGTCGTAGTAGTTGGGCATGTTGGTTGCCTGTGCAGTTGTAGTACTTACTGCTGTTACTGGAGCTCCCCTATGTTTAGGATCTCAGCTCCGCTACCACGTTAAAATACGTTGATACTTTACTTCTAGTGCAAGTGTTGTTCAGTTATCACAAACACAAATGTAGTCAGCCAGCATGCACTCTTTTCCTAGTAGACTCAAGGCCTGCAGTCGGGTAGTGTACATCATGCATGCACAAGTGACAAGTAGAGCAACATGATATTTGACAAGAGAGAGAGAGAGAGAGAGAGAGAGAGAGAGAGAGAGAGAGAGAGAGAGAGAGAGAGAGAGAGAGCACAGAGGCACCTAGCCTGGTCTTTGATGTGACCTTAGTCCCTTAGCCATGGAAGTAATTGCCTTGCCATTAAGCCTACCTATTAGACCTTTCGCTCAGGAGGAAAACAACCCAGCTAACCACAGGAGGCAGGAGGCTAAACGCAAAGGCAGTGTAGCCCTTTCTGGTTGGGTCGAACAGCCCACCGGCCAGTTGAGAATATGTTTGTTCCTTTCTGGCCTTTTGCATAAAACCTCCGCGGCCACTTGGGGTGTTGAACAAAACACAAAGGGCTTCCCCTGCTTTCGGCGTGCAATTTAATTTGCTCCTGCAAGGCGCTGTGAGGGGCTGGAGCGCTGGTGTCGCTAGGGCCCCAGGTCTTCCAGTAGTCTATGGTCCAATTTGAGAGGGACATGTAAAACTCAATACACCCGAGAACTCTCTAATTAAGCCGTGTCTTCCTCTCCTGCCTGGCCAGTAGGACAGTAATTGGAAAGGAAAAGAACACTTTCTCCCAGGGCCGCAGAGTTCCATAGTGCATGGAAGCTATAATTCGATTGGTGTTTGAAAGGAATAAACAACAAAACTCGCGGAGGGCGATCACAGATACGCTTCCTCCACGCGAACCTGTTCCAAGACAGCTGGCTTGTGAACGGCCGTTGGCAGCCATGCAGGGGGCTCAGGCATTGGCTGACTGGCCCCCTGCTCAGCCTTCAGTTGGCGGCAGCTGCATTCCGATGGCCGTCCTGTCTTGCTGTGATTCAGTGAAGCAGAGTCCCAGCGTCAGCTGGCAGATCTTCAGAGGGACGACCATGGACAAATTCGCCTATTGGCTTGGAAGTGCTTGAGCAATGAGGTGCAGGAGTTGCAGGCCACATAAATTTATGGGAGCGAAAGTTCACCAGAAATGGGCTTACTCATTGTCCCTTGTGGGGTGTGGAAACCACATGTTTCGCCTTGTTGCGTGCTCCAATTACAAGAAATCCTCCCAAACAATCATGCAACTTAAAATGAGCCATTGGCAAGAGGGTGGCCTCAGGTTCCATGTTAGTGTTAAATATGGCAAGCTCCCCAGAGGGAATCCATGTCGGGGCATAATCGAATCTAAGGATTTGCTTGCCTCAATATGGTTTGCCTTATTGTTCTTCTTATTTTGTGATAGTTGTTCTCAATCTTTGGGATTCTGTAAAGTGTTAGCGACTGCAAGAAACAAAGTTTGCTATCATACCAAGGTTTGTGAAGTTCATTGACCCTTTGTGCGTGGGGATGATTTGTAGGGATGTTCCCAACAGACACAGAGCCTCCGTCAGGCATGCTTGAAAGAGAAAACAAAAGAATTGCCAACCCAACTTGCAAGGCAAAGAAGATGTCGACACACGCCCTTGGCCGATACGGGCGGCGAAAGCATCGCTTTGCGCAGTTGGTTTGCGGTGGCGGCAATTTCTCAGCAACCCAGTTCGATTGAGGGAATGGCCCCTTTTCTCAAAGAAGCCCCGCCAAGCGCCTGTGCTTTTGGAGAGACCCGAATCAAGCCTTCACTTGCTGGCATTCGTCAACCCATCGTGCAAGGAAATCCTCATTTCAATGAAGCAGAGAAGCCTTCCTGGCAGAGATTGGGCTATGCCCATCGGCACAATCAAAGAAACAAGCAGATGCGTATGCCTCATGGAGAGTGTCTTGTGTTTTTGTTGGTTTGTTTTGGTCGTTTGACGGAGCCCGGGCTTTGAGGACCTGCGGCCTTCTTTCTCACTGGTGTTGACTGGTTTACTCCGTGAGCATTGGTCAAGCGGTTTCTTCTTGAGGTGCTGTGGCGGAGGTTCTCACCTTGCGCTTTGCGGAGGCCTGAAATCAATTCGGTGCGTCTCGTTGTTCTGGATGGTTTTTGATTTTATTGGCTGATCCAAACGTGAATTGCTGGTTCGATAGGCAAGGCAAGGAATGAGTTTTGGTTTATTTGCGGGTTTCGAGTTCACCGGTTCGGCGGGTAAAACGAGCAAAAGCCAGACTGTCCATTACTTGGGGAACGACTTGTTGAGACTGGGTTACTTGGGGAACGACTTGTTGCGACTGGGGGACTGTGGTAGTGCACTTTTTTGTGATTTGGGGGTTTGATATCTTGAGCAAGTTGTACGATTGCTTTTGCTGAAGAGTGTTTCTAACTGCGATTTCTGAATCAAGGTCCTCTACTTTCTTCGTTTTTTGTAACATGCTGCTAATTGCTGCTGCTCATTCAAGCTAGAGTAGCTGCAATTATCTTAGCATCGTTCTTTCATTCCTGTTTGGCATTAGAGTTGAATTTGAATTCAAATAGATTCCAGTATGGAAAGACAAGTTTGTTGTTTCTGCTAATTTGCCTGCCCCTTAAAAGGAGTGAAACAACAATAGAACGGCAAGGAACATGCAATTTCAGTTCTAATGGTTCAAAAGCTTTAATTTGCCACGCTTTAAGTTTAAATCACAGTTCAATTTGAGTTCAATGTAAAATATTGTTTTGAATTAGAATTAACACAGGGGGTCCTTCCCAAGTAGGGTTTTAATTGGGATTTAAATATAATATAATAAGTAGAAACAAGCTTGTTGTTTCTTCTAATTTGCAAGCCCCTCAGAAGGAGTGAAAAACCTGTGAAAACCCATGGAAAATACACATTTTATTCCACTTGGTTTGCAAGTTTTGAATTGCAAGGCTTTAAGTTTAAACGGGGTTTCGGTTAGAATTCACTTCAAGGGTTCATTTGATTTAGACTTTAAATAGTACTTCCCTTCCAAGTAGGATTTTAATTAGATTTTACTTAGAACTCTTATTATAATTCAGATGTTAAATAGGAGTTTATATTTGCACATATGAATTCAATTAGAGTTGAACTAGAATTCGAAATCCCTTCCAAGTCTAAATAGGAACTCCTGCCCAAAACTTAATTGGAATTTAAACATACTTTAGCTAGAATCTAGTAAGGAAAGACAAGCTGGTTGTTTCTTCTGAGTAATTCAATTACATGTTTTTGAATCATGCTTGAAAAAGGAATTAAATTCCAAGTATCTAGGCTTTTTTTTATTAGACTTTGATTGTAATTTTAATAGAATCTGGTAAGGATAGATAAGCTGGTTGTTTCTTCTAGTTAGTTTAAATGGACTTCTTACACTTACTTGGATGTTTAAGAGGAATTAATTAGAGTTCTTATGGTGAAGTTGAGTTGAAATAGGACTCATGACATGAGAAATCGCCTGCGCTGCTCACGAGAGAAGTGTAACTGAATAAACCACGCACCACAGCAAAAGCCAACAAAACTCGAGGAAAACAATAAAACCAAAAAAACTCGAGGAACACCAACAAAAAAAACTCGTGAAAACCAAAAAACCCTCGAGAAAACCAAAAAAACTCGAGGAAAACCACAAAAAAAATAAAAAATCGAGAAAACCAAACAAAACAACAACAAAAACATGTTTCCAGAACTCTTTCAACATGGGTTGTGTTCCAAGGAGTTTCTAAACCACGTTTTTTTTGGTTTTCTCGAGTTTTTTTTGGTTTTCCTCGAGTTTTTTGGGTTTTTCTTGTTTTCTCAAGATGTTTCCTCTGCACGTGTTAGATCAAGTGCAACTGACATGGCTGACCCATGAGAAGACTGCGAGCCTCAAAACGCGCAAAAAAGCGCACTACCAGGTTCTGGACTTGCTTGGGTGTTTTTTTCAAGGGCCTCCAAACGGTGTCCCTATGTGTTTCCCTTTAAAACCTTACTAACAAAAAGCTACCCTCAAAAAGGGGGACAACCATATTCAATGAATCGTAGTGCCTTCGCGAATAAGAAAGCACTTTGCATATTGTTTAATTGCACCCTGCCCGTGAAGTTATATACATAGTATGAGTGGGGGGGAGGTGCGCATCAATGCTTTGAGCGTCACACACACACACACTTACATGACCCTTTGTAGATTATTCGGTTGTATCACACCACTTGGAATGGGTGTTGCCCAGGCTGACTCAGCCGGACCGGTGCGTGTCGGCTGACGCAGCCCCTGCGAGCATGCAAAGAAGACGAAACCCGCAGGCGTCACGAAGCTTGGCACCCATCCAACTAGTGTCTTCCCCGGGGGATCCCAAACGGCTCATTCCCGAAGCCCCCAAATCATTTCCCTATCGAACCAGCAAGCGAACGAGTCTGTGTAGAGGTCCCGCAAAGTCATCGGCACGTTGATGGCAGGCTGCCAAGGCAAAATATATATATATATCATATTATATTATACATATATATATATATATGTCTTGATGTTTGCTGTTCTTACTTCATTGTTTGAGGTACGAGTGTTATTATTTCTGTTTGTTTGCCGCGTGTTCTGAAAAGTGGAATGGGTTGCCATCTCTGGTTTTTTGTCCTCCACAATCATCTACAGCCGTGGCTTAATCCAGCCCAAACCTGCGGAACAGGTTTGAGTTGTCGGCATTTGTGTGTCTATTTTGAGGCCAAGCGTGCTGCCGCCAGCCCGGGACAAAGGGGCTGCGGTTTTCTTGGGCGCGTGCTTCGAGTTGCGAAAGGACGAGCTCAGGCTCTCAGTCAGGGGACCCTAAATGGGTGTGTGCCTTTTTGAGGCTACCTCTTGTGGGCTGGTTTAAAATGAAGCCAAAAACAAACACACATACCCGCAATGAGGCCCGGACCCCATGACGAAGGTGTTTTGGGGTTGTTCAATTCCAGCATTGAGTGCTGGGGCAAGTGGCAAGCTGGTTGCTCAACACTTGGGGATCCATTTCCACGGTTTGGATCGCTTTCAGAAGGCGTTTCGCAAGAAGGGGTCCCCCAAAAATGGTTGATTTCTCGTTGGCTTCCCTTTGAATACCCAAAGGGTGTCCATTTTGAGAACTGTTCACAACCCTTTGGGGGTGGCTTGGCTGGCAGGCTACAGCTCGAGGCTGGGGCCATGAAATTGACAGGCGCCCTTCTTGTGTGTTGAGTGATCAACTTGTGTGTCCAAAAATAGGGAACCCTGAAATTAGTTGTCTTGTTTCTCGGTGGTTTCCACCAAAGACCCACCCAAAAGGGGTGTCGTTATTTTTGGCCACACTCAAAGGATGCTGTTTCTTCAGCATTGAATTGTCCAGACGTCGGAACTTGCCTCTTTTCCCTCTGCCAAAGAGGAAACTGATGCTGATGTTTTAATCTGAGGTATCAAAACATGTCTTAATTAATGTTGATTTAGTTCGTTGCTCAGAACATGCCCCTTTTAAAACAAGGAACAACCCCCCTTGTTAAACCGGTCCCTCCCCAGCTGGCTGCTGCTATCTCGTTTTCTCCATTGCTTCTTGAGCTCATCTCTGGCACATCTGCCAATGCAGTCTTGTCACCACTGGCTGGGCTGAAAAGCTTTTCAATGTAAACTGCTTTTTGCTGCTAGCTGATGCTGCTGATGTTGACGATGGTGGACTTGTGCTGCTTTCTCTGGATGGTGTCTTGAACAGCTGCTTTGGCTTAAACGGGCTCATACTTTCTTCTGCTGCCTTTCTCTTCATGCTGCTGCCTTGCTTAGGGCTCTCATCTGCACCTCCTACTCTCATCTCATGCTTTGTCTCTTTCTCATCTTTTCTTGCATCTTCTCTTACATGTCAAGCTCATTGTGAGCTGATGCTGACAATTCCTCCCATGAGCCTATGTCTGATTCAGAGCTTGATGTTCCAGATGCCATTGCTGGACTATGTCTGCCTAATCAGCCTGATGAGCCTAATGTCATCTGATGGAAGCTTCCAGATGATTCAGGGTGTCAAGGCCAAAAACCTTCCAACGTTTTGTCCCCCCAAACCTTCTGACCTTAGAACGGGGGGGGGTTATGAATACGGGGTCAACATTACATTGTGAGGTTGACGAAGTATGAAACGGAAGCACGTTTTTGGAGAAGAGAACCCCAGAGTTGGGCCAAGCAATTAGCCACCTCTCTCCCCCAGCTCCCCCCAATTTCGAAACAACAACCCACAAAACGACCGAAAACAATGTCTGAAAGCACACGGGTTTGTCTCACAATTGCAGGCCACCGACACGGCTCCTTTTGGATTCCACTTATTTCAAGCCCACCAATATCCACCAATAGGCATCCCCCCCGCACTTGTTTGCTATTTAGTGGGGTGGTTTGGACAGCACTGAAAGGCACTTGTGGCTTTTGTGTTCTTTGTTATTTTCAGCAAGCGTGTTTATTTGGTAGCCATTAATCTATTCGTCAAGCAAGTACTCGTATCCGTTTGGGTCATTCCATGGGACCAAGCTTCATTCGCAGAATTCCACAGAGGTTCAGGGTCGGTTTAGGGGATGGTTTAACATCTCGCCCCTTTGATCATCATTGCAGACAGTCATTCCTGCCTCCAGGTTGCCTATCATAGCCCACCGATTCAAGCCATGTGATGTCCAACAGAAACATGCGGGTTGCAACCAAGAAGTGTACTTGGAAAGAAGCGAATCGCAGCGAAGATCCTACCCCATGTTTGAAGGCACCAGTGAATGCTGATGGCACTTCCAATCGCTTGAGGCGCTGCCATCAATGGCGACGACTCGAAGCCTTGGCCTTGAAAGTGGCCGGGGGCGGTTCATCGAAAATTGGCAGAAACTCAAAGGATCACCCCAAAGGAGAGAGAACGCTTGTTGGTGCCAAATAGCCCGTAAGATTGAATTGTTTCCAAAAAGAGACCAAAAGGAGACGGATATGTTTTAAGTTTCTCCAGGAACCCCCCCATTTAATGCCCTGGAATGGGTGGTTTTGGGCTCCATGTGCTTAGAGTACACGGGCCCTTCGAGGGGATGAACAAAAGCTGGGACTGGGCAACTGTTTGTCCGACTGAGCACTAACCCTTGCTTGTTTTGTTCCGTGGCTTCAAACATCCTCATTTATGTCTAATATTATGATGCACGTTGCCATTGCTGGACCACTTGCCCTCCTAAAGGTGAGAGTTCGAATTTGGCGAAGTGGCCCTGCTTGTTTTGACGCAGAGAGCTCGCTTCCATCGCTTCAGATTTGAATCCAGTGCGTGTAAAGGGCTCCCAACATTTGGCTGAGTTTGAACATCACGTAGGGCCGCTTCCTTTCGGAGGGCTGACATTATGGGGAAACACAGGGAGCCCTGGTCGTGGCCTCAACTACTTGCCCTAAAAAGGCAACGGAGCCAATGAATGCTTGGAACGTTCCGAACACACTCAAACTTGGTTGGTGATCATGTCCACCAAAGTTTCCTCAGTTTGAACCCAAAGTATCACCTTCAATAAAGGTGTCATTGTGTTTCCTTCTGTTGGGGTGAGTTTGAGCATCGGAAATCACATTGGCATTGCCATTTGAAGACCTGTGAATGTTCTTTTGAATACAAGTCGAGTATTTCTCAAATTCGTGTTCCCACCACGGTTGGTTGCCTCTTCGTTTCCCTTTACCAACCAAACGGGGTCGATCATTTGGAGAAGTCCCCGTGGACACGTCGACCGTGGGCCACCTGAGGCCATTTGCAGAGATGCCGAGGCCCGACGACCTGAAGGCTCGCTCGCTCGCTCGCTCGTGTGGTTGCAGAGTTGCACCGAAGCGGCGCTGATGCCAAAGGAGATTCCTCTGGTAGGTTTTGGGTTCCATGTGAATCTGCAGGAAGGTAACATGGGTGGCTAAATGAATAATTAGTCTCTTCTGATGGGATCATGCTTTCTAGTACCCCACAATCCCAGTTCAATGATTTAGGCCTGTCGTGTACCCTGTTTTGAATGTGCCCTTGGGCGATACTATACCCCCTATCTACGGTACGTGTAGGCGCATAGCGTGGGCCCATTAGGCCACACCGGGTGCTTTCTCAAGTCTATCAGGGGGCCACTATGATTCAGGTGTGTCTAGTTACTTGGAGTTACTAGGGATGCTCGTCAACCCTTCTTTGGGCAGTCAGGCTGGAGGAAGGGCCTGGTGAGGCCGTTCGGGTGTCTTAGTGAAGGCAACCCCCCTGTGGATCACAGGCATTTCGCCTGCTTAGTACCCCCGCTTCGTAGACGCTGAAAGCCTAAAGCTAAGCTTTAAGGACCCTGAACCCTAAGAACCTGAGCCTATCTCTCAGAAACCTAACAACCTCAACAGAAGAACCTAATCCGAAAACCTAACCCCAAACCCTAGAAGCCATGAGCCTAAACCCTAAAAAAGCAAGGCTGTTCCTTGATCGGGGCCAAGACGATACCAAGGAACAACGCACAAAGCAATCGGCAAAGTGCAAAGCACACAGTGACTTCTGCATCCCCCGTTGGGTTACGGCCAGCATCACACATGTCGCCCCATGTCTCCCATCTGTCCTGATTCGAACAGCTTTGCACGCCAGGCTGTGCCTTGATCAAAGCCATGAAGATATCAAGGAACAATGCACGAAGCACACGGCAGAGCGCAAAGCATGCAGTGCAAAACTTGCATCCCCAGCATCACCGCAATTTCAAAGGCGCTGGCCGCATCATTCCTGAATCGCGTTTCCTGGCTCACGTTTCCGCGTTTCCTGACTCACCTTTCCTGTTGTGATCTTAATCTTTATCACTTTCGTTTCTTGACTTGCCTCTAGTTGTTTCTTGACTCGCCCCTGTCCATTTCCCGACTCATGTTTCTGGAAGTCTTGCGGTGATGGCAGCGCATTTTGGATTCCAGGCAGCAGCTGATGCGTTGTATCCAACTGCATGAGCATATCCAAACATAAAATGCACTTCAACAACTAGATGTCCGTAAAGGGGAAGACACCTTTGTTGTGGCCTCAATATGGGTTTGGCCCTTTGTATGATAGTTTGTTTCCTCGTGATTTCGCTTATTGCCGCTCTTCTTCGTCGTCGTCTTCTTCTTCTGTTTCTTTTTCTCATGCTCCTCCTCAGGCTCCAACGAGGCTCTGTGCCCTGTGCTCTGGAAAAAAGAGGCAATTGCAGCGACCATGTTGCCTCAAAGGCCAGAAAGCCAACCCTTCCAACGGGGATTGAGTTGGCCGGTGGCACCCTTGTTTACTTTTTTGGGGCAGGGTTTCTCTTTGATATGAACCAACAAAAAGCAAGTGCTCGGCTTTTCCATGGCCGTTGGCCTTCTGGACATCGTATACACAAGGGCTCGTGCCCCTTCCCAGTTGTTGCACGTTCCAGCCCAGAAAGTCCAAAGCTATTTCAAGCACCTGGAGCTTGGAACGTGACCCGCGGTCCGCCCCATGTGGTCAGGCCAAAGCGCCTCGGGTTGTCTGCAGCCCAGAGGGCGTTGGGGGTAAAGAGTTGGGTTGTCAGGGACCTTTGTTGAAATCAATTCATAGAGCAAAGGCTCACCTTTGAATCAACGTTTGGGGCCAGATTTGCTCCTGACCAAACCATAAACAAGTTAGATATTTCGGGCCTTCTGCTTGTTTGGTTTGCCTTCATGATCCCTGTCAACCAGCAATAGCCAGGCTTTTACGTGAACAAAACTGGAACCCTAGCATTGGAGCTATTCTTATTTGATCTTTCCAGATGGAGTGTCACAAAACAGAGGCTTGGGGGCGCAAGCTGAGGTACGTCCCTTCCTTGGGAACTTTGGATTTGCCAACCATTGGTTTTGAGCAGTCAAGGTGTTCCTTTTGACCTTTTGTTGGAAACAAAGGTGCACCCCTGGAAGTGAACAAATTCGATTGGGGGGTCCCTTGATTTTCAACAAGCATGGGGCTCGAAAAGTGGGGTTGGGAAGGATGGTCATCAACCTCTTGATGGTTTTAGCCATGACCTGCCGGAGTTTTGACCATGGCAAGCGCGAATGGGCACTCCGTCGGACGTCAGGTTTTGGGCGACCTCCTCATCAACCCGGACATCTTTTCCATGACGCCCAACGAGCTCACCCTGCTACGTTTGGTCGAGCGGGCTTCGCCAACAACGGGCTGCAATTCAAGCAGTGAAGGGAACCCAACCCCTTTGCAGGTCCCTCAAATCAACCCAGAACCTGGAAGTGACAAACATGTTCCCTTTCTGAGTGAGCAGTTTATCAATTTTGCAGGAAGACACACGGGTTGATCATATGTGTTTGACTTCCCCGCCGTTTCGGTATTCGCATGCATGTCATTTCAGCACAGCGACATGTACTCGCCCCTTGCCCCCCTCAGTTTGGGGTTCGCCAAATGTGGTGACCAGGCTGCGGCATGTGCGGGACCTCACGGTGCACCGGCCCAAGGTGGGTGAGGCGCCTTGGGGCGGATTTGGGTACATGGATGTGGGCCTTTTTGGGAACCCCGCTTTTGTTTGCTTTTCAAGGGACACCAAAAGCAAACCCAAGATTTTGGGGGTTCCCCGTTTTAAGAGAAACCCACATGCTGTTGGTGGGATGTGGGCGTCCTGTTGGTTTCCCTGTAAACCAAGGTGAAAAGCGTTCCCTCGAAAAGCACACAATTCAGTTTGTCCACTTTTTGGGGCCTGTCACCTGTCCAAATTGAGATTCTTCCGGTGGCGAGCTTCAAAAGGGGCATAAGGAATATTGGGGTGCGGGGAAGATCGGCTTGGTTCAAATGCGCTGGGCATAGCCTATTTGACCAAAGGCTGGCTTCGACTGGTTCTGTTTTTGGCGATCCCGGTCTGAGTTTCTGGTTGGTTGTTGCCCTTTTCCGACCCTTGAGGGGTTGACCTTGATTATTCTGACCCACCACTTCGGGGCTGACCGGAGAAGAGTCGCGTTTGGTCTCATTCCCAGGTTCAAGGCCAAGTAATCTTAGAAGCGGCGCAGCGCGCTGTCCACCGAATCTTTCCAACGTGATCAAACTGAGCAAATCAGAGGCTCCGATATGGACATTTACAAAGTATTGAAGTGTGTGAATGGACAAGAGTCCTCAGTTCTGCACACTTCGGGGCTTCTGAATCTTACCTCCCCAGTGACATGGCACCTGACCGATCCCTCCAAGAGGAGCTTGATCTTCCAGATGGTAGCTGGGCGTTCTCCAAGTGGTGCCTGGCATGTGTAACCTTCTGGTGTCCCTTGAGCCAACCCTGAAAATAGCCTCAAACAAAACCAGCGCACACACACACACACACACACACACACACACACACACGCACACGCACGCGCACGCGCCCGCGCGCGCCCGCGCGCACGTGCGCGCACGCGCGCACGCCACACACACAGACAGACAGACAGACAGACAGACAGACAGACAGACAGACAGACAGACAGACAGACAGACAGACAGACAGACAGACAGACAGACAGACAGACAGACAGACAGACAGACAGACAGACAGACAGACAGACAGACAGACAGACAGACAGACAGACAGACAGACAGACAGACAGACAGACAGACAGACAGACAGACAGACAGACAGACAGACAGACAGACAGACAGACAGACAGACAGACAGACAGACAGACAGACAGACAGACAGACAGACAGACAGACAGACAGACAGACAGACAGACAGACAGACAGACAGACAGACAGACAGACAGACAGACAGACAGACAGACAGACAGACAGACAGACAGACAGACAGACAGACAGACAGACAGACAGACAGACAGACAGACAGACAGACAGACAGACAGACAGACACAGACAGACAGACAGACAGACAGACAGACAGACAGACAGACAGACAGACAGACAGACAGACAGACAGACAGACAGACAGACAGACAGACAGACAGACAGACAGACAGACAGACAGACAGACAGACAGACAGACAGACAGACAGACAGACAGACAGACAGACAGACAGACAGACAGACAGACAGACAGACAGACAGACAGACAGACAGACAGACAGACAGACAGACAGACAGACAGACAGACAGACAGACAGACACACAGACACACAGACACACAGACACACAGACACACACACACACACCACACACGCGGGTGGTTGCCTTGCAAGAGTTGGGTTTTTTCCTCATCCGCCGGTGGGAAGTGTCGGATTTCGGCAGATTACCTTCCACGGTGAGATCGACCTGCTGCGCCATCGAGCTGTCCTGGAGGTGGGAGCTGTATAGGAATTCCCAGACCAACGGCAGGAATCCACAGTGGAAAAAGGGGATAACCAGACCAGCTGAGAGGGAAGCACCATCTACTGTATGTGTGTGTGTAATCATTTAGCCCCTTGTATTAGAAGAAACTCTCATTGTCGAAACATGCGGAGCCTTTTGTTTCCACCTGGAGTCTCAATGAGCCGTTAAAAATGAGGTCATCCTGACTCACATTTTAAGAGTCATTGAGACAGGCAGGCGCTGTTTTTCGTGAGTGCCCAGGATCTACCCAGTGTGGTGCGTCTGGAGCCGGGCGAGGCGGGAGCGTGGGAGTCACTTTTTGCCCAAGTCCGTACCGTAACGGCGGTAACGGGGCAGCCCGGGGGGGGGGGTAAGGGCGTTTGTTGTAGGGTGCCCTTGTTGGGGGTGGTGCAAAGGGAATCCAAAGGGAAACCACCATTTTTTACGGGGGGTCGCCCTGTTTTGACATTATGTATTCATTTGAACTGCCTGTTCTATTGCGAGCTCACCGATTCGACAAGCTCACCATAACCTTTGCTTGGGAATCCGACTCTTATGTCATATGTTGGAATTAAAGTAGTTGTTTTCAGATTTGCAGTGTTCCCACAGAAGGGGTGGGCTCAAGCCTTCAAAAAGCTTGGATCTCTTTTGGTGGGTAGTGTGCTTGTGGTTTCCCATCAACAACTGCTCAGGAAATTTTAAGCTACGTGATGACGTAAAAGTCTGGGTGTGACATTTTTCGGAGCTGGTACCAATTTAATTTGGGAGTTGTTTTCCACGGAAGCCAAGGGAACATCACCATGGGAAGGCGCCCTCCATTTTTAGGGGCTTTCCGAGAGAGCGACTTCCATGTGCTGGAAATGATGGCGATTCACGACAGGTCCAAGTGCGAGGAGTTCACATGCCTTTGGGTCTTCCCATTTGGCCCCTCAACTGTTTAGTATTGGTGGCATCACGTTCGCCACATGGAAGGCCCAACCTTTGTGAGCCAATATTTCGTCGAGAAGAGGGGGGGGCCACGTCCCAGAAATAACATGTGCGAAGAATTTGCGTGTTCGACCTGTGAACTTGGATTGTACTTTCCAAACGCCTGGTTATTATGAAACAAGGGGTGTGCCGTCGCCGAACAAAGGGACACTGCCAAATCCATCAATGCATGTATGGAAAATGGGAGAGAGGGTGAGTCAAAGACCGCACACACACACACACATGTCGACCAGTTTGGACATGGTTGGATGTTTGCCCCAATTAATCCTCGTGGCAGACGTTTTTGTTCCCTCTTCGTTTGCTGGCTTCCCCAAACCCGAATCGACCCCACAAAGGAGTCCCTTCTGTTGCCTCCAATGATTGCCACGTGGCCTCTTGCCTTGGCTGCGTTCGCGAGGTGGTGCTGTATCCGGATTCTCGCCAGAAGCTGGGGTCTCAGTAGGATCCATGTCCCAGACCTCCACAGGATGGCGCCCAATGGGGGGTGTGCCAGTGGGGCATGTCCGAGTTTGATTTGTTTTCTGCAAGGGGGTTTAATTCTGCTGAAGATCGAGTAAAACAATGGTGCCCCTTTTTGAACCTCATAGCTGCTGGAGAGTTAGTTGGATTGTATTTCAATCATGACCTTTGGCCGTTTCAAAGCGAGTTTTCCCGAGTTCACATTTGGTGGGTACCCCGCGTTGTTGCGGGGTAGCAAATCCCAGAGCCTTGTTACTGGATTTTCGGTGTCGGCTGCAGCTTGACAGAGTGAATGCTTGCAAGGATTCAGTGGAATATCATCAAAAAGAGGAATCTCAAATTAGGGGTGGTTTCGCTTTGGTTGCCCTTAAAACAACTTCAAATAGAGCGCCGGGCGCTCCATTTGAGTTTGAAAGGACATATTGCCAGAAGCTACCCAGGAAATCAGAGCTATGCAAAAGTACACGATGTTCTTTCCAGGAAGCCATGAAGCAGAGAGCAAACTCCCCCCCCCCCCGCCCCTTCGAGGACCCCTAAGGCTACCGACCACCCGGGAGGCATTGGGTTTCTTAGAGAAGCCAAGTCCCGTTCCCAGGCCACCGGAGGGCGAGGGGCTGAACAGGCGCGGGCTGATCGATTCGCGGAGATTTGCGCGAAGAAAAAAGCTCGCTGGTGTACCCGTGTGCACGAGGGTGTACTTGTGGCAGACTGTTTTATGTTGAGTTGTCATTGATTCACGCATCATGATGACAATGAAATTTGATCCCATGGTTACAGACATACTACAGGGTCCATCAGGAATCAACCGGTTCATCTCAAAGACCATGCAGGTTCTTCAAACATGGGGTGTGGTTTCCCAGTACTAGCCCATGCAGCCTCAGGGGGGCGGGCTGCGTCAAAATTAAGGGGTGATGCCCCCCTCTAAGGGTCAGAAGGAGACTCCAGGTAGAACAAGGGAGCGCAGAAAAGGTTCGTCTCCAAATGGGGTAACCCCCAAAAGGGTATGTTTGCTCTTTGTTTCCCTGTAAAACCAACCAAAAGGGGGTACCCAAAAGGGAAGCACACCCATTCACTTGCTCCAGGCCAGCGACGATCACGCTTTTCGGGTGCCTGCCTCCACAGACGGCGGAGTTTGCCGATGAGGAGAGCAAGACAAGGTGGGAGGATGTGAGACAGCCTTTGGGGGCTGGAAAGCGCTTGGGTTTGCTTTGGCACCTCCAGAGTTTGTCAAAACAGCTACCCAGAAAAGAGTGCCCTATTTTCCCATGTTCACAGAGGGTCGGGGTTGATGGGCGTTTGCAAAAGAAAGCTCAACTAGTTGTCATGAATCCTAGGGACCCTTTGCGGATCGTTGTGAGTGCAACCAAGAAGAAATGGGAATCGGCATTGCCTCACAGCGATGAAAGGCCAAATGGCCTTTCATTGTGAGGCTTCTTTGCATTACTTTTCCAGTATGTGAGGTCAACATGTTTAACAATCAACAGCTGGTATTTTGGACAGGGAGGGAAATCCAGCCGATTTCAACCAGACTGAGCCCGACTTCCCCCCATGTCCTGAAAGAGGGTAGCTTTCGCCAGGTTTCAGCATTCCACAAAAATATAGAGTTCGAAGCGTGATTCCTCGTCAAATGGCTGGGTTTCAGGCTTCACGCTAGCTTTGGGGGAGGAAATCATTTCTTAGTGCTGCAGCTCAACTGCAGCTTATTGGTTGGGGCTTGGACGGCTTCACTTTTTGTCGTGCCTAGCAGTCACCTGCAATTTCTGAAGGAACCACCTGAAGCCTCCACCATGTTTCGGGTCCCAGAAGCTAATCCAAACCTTGCATTTGAAAAAAACATGTAGCTAAACCAACAGCTAGTAGGGGCAATTGTCCCACCTTTGTGCCAAGCCTGACATGGCCTCAAAGTGGCAGGGTGCGTCAAGGTGGTTTGAAGTAAGCCCCACAGGCTTATGGCCGGTTGCTAATCAGTCGTACCATGCCTCTTTGAGAACGGGCCCCCTGCATTTTCCATCATTCGAGGATTCTACTTGGGTGTTCGTCCAAGTTCCCAGGTGGGTTGGAGTTAACCCTGTTGTTGGCGGGGTATCCCAGGCCTGGCCGAACATCCATTGCACCTCGCCAGGTATCGGCACCGCATCGCAGAGATGACGGAGTCCAAGGGCGCCCGCTTCTTGGACTACGACTGCGACAAGGGCCTTTGGCAATTCCGCACACTGGCCGCATAGCGTTTGGTCTTGGTTGGTTACGGGGCCCCAAAGAAAAGGCCAGACCTTTTGGCCTTTTGGGGACCTTGTTGTTTGGTTTGCAGCGAAATGGCCAAAGCAAAGGCCACAACACTTTTTCGGGGGGGGGGGGTTCTTTTTGAGACACACCCGGCGTGTTAACCGAAACCTGAGTGCAGGTTTTGCCCAATTTCTTGGCGGCATTCATCAAAACTTTTTTTGGGATTGTTTGAGGCCAGACCCTGACCGTCTCCAATAAAAATCAGCAGTTTCAAGAGTGTGTCAATGTTGCAACTGAGAGCTCTGCCTTTTCCCATGGACCGAACTAAATAAATAAAAACAAGACATGGGGATCCCCTGATCTCCAGACACTTGGTGCTTTCCCTGCCAGGCGTTGATCATTTCTGAGGCTACAACGGCCAACGCTTGGCAAATGCAACTGAGCTGTGCGGGCTTGCCCTCAGCTCTCAAATCATCCGTTTGGAAGGAAAAGACACATCGATATTGCTGAGCGCAATTGTGGTGAGCTAAATTACACATTGTGAATTGGGAGAAGTGGTTTGTCATATCACCTATATCGAAGATGATGTAAAATTTAATATATATATATATATACTAACTCAATAATTTAATTCGATATGTTTAATAATATAAAACAATTTATTGCAATTTATTAATAATGAATATTGAAATTGATAAACATATAGTAGGAAGTAATACGACATTTAATTTGTATTTTGGTTTGGGAGAACAATTTAATATAATAAGTATGTATTTAATTGAATATTATATTAATGAAATTATATTATAGGTTATATATGTGATATATATATATATATATTATGAATTTGGGTGCACCAAATTAGGGGCAAGATGACAGGGAGGGGGTCGGGTGTTTGCTTTTTGTCTCCCTTATAGAGCGAGATTGTTTTGTAGAAAGCCATGCGAAATTAGATGAACAAATATCTTTGTGGTGATGCAGTACTATACTTGTACTTAAGAGGCACAATTTGCATGCTCGAAAGTGTACAAGCCACAATGCACAAAGCGCGGCAAAACGAGACGGTCCCCCTTGGTTTGCTTTGGTTTTGTTGTAAAACAAGTCTAAGTGAGTCTAAAACGAGAGCAAAACAAACGGCATTGTGGAAGATAAGGTAGCTAGTGAGCTGCTTACGTCACCAGCGTCCGATGCCGCTTTATCTCAAGCAACGCAGGCTGATCTCGGCGAAAATGTTACGCCAGCAATGCCCAAGAGCGATCCCAAGCCGCTTGTCCAGCATAAGCCCTGCGGAATCTGGCATAGCGGTAAGCTTAAACCTTGTCCGGCAATGCTTGTCAGAGCGTCTTTTTTGATAGCCTGCCAACATTTACTATCAGCGACGCGTGCACTCACCCGCGACGATTCCATGAGGCAAGGCGAGCATGATGATGCGATGAGCTGATAGATAGTAGCAGCATCTGCAAACCAGTGCGGCAAACAACGGAAAGCGCCTGCCACGGCATGCGATGGCTTTCCCTTGTTTTCCCTTGCGTTCCCTTGCCTTCCTTCGCTTGACCTTGCTTTTTCCCTTGCGTTGCCTTGCTTTCCCTTACTTTCCCTTTCCGTTGCTTTCCCATTTCCTTGCTTTCCCTTGCTGTCCCTTGCTTTCCTTTGCTTTGCCTTGCTTTGCCCGTGCTTTAGCTTGCTTTGCCTTGCTGTCCCTTGCTTTCCCTTGTTTTCGCTTGCTTTCCCTTGCTTTGCCTTGCCTTGCCCGTGCTTTTGCTTGCTTTGCCTTGCTATCCCTTCCTTTCCCTTGTGTTCCTTTGCTTTGCGTTGCTTTGCCCATGCTTTTGCTTTCTTTGCCCTGCTATCCCTTGCTTTCACTTGTTTGCCCTTTCACTTGCTTTCCCTTGCTTTCCCTTGCCTTCCTTTGCTTTGCCTTGCTTTGCCCGTGCTTTTGCTTGCTTTGCCTTGCTCTCCCTTTTTTTCCCTTGCTTTCCCTTGCCTTCCCTGGCTGTCCCTTGCCTTCGTTTGCTTGTCCCTGCTTTCCCTTTCCCTTTCTTTCCCTTGCTTTGCCCGTGCTTTTGCTTGCTTTGCCTTGCTCTCCCTTGTTTTCCCTTGCTTTCCCTTGCTGTCCCTTGCTTTCCTTTGCTTGTCTTTCCTTTCCCTTGTTTTCCCTTTCCCTTGCTGTCCCTTGTGTTCCTTTGCTTTGCCTTGCTTTGCCCGTGCTTTTGCTTGCTTTGCCTTGCTCTCCCTTGTTTTCCATTGCTTTTGCTTGCCTTCCCATGCTTCCCTTTGATTGTCCTGGCTTTCCCTTTCCCTTGCTTTCCCTTGCTGTCCCTTTCTTTCCCTTGGTTTCCCTTGCTTTCCCTTGCTGTCCCTTGCGGTCCTTTGCTTTCCTTTGCTTGTCCTTGCTTTCCTTTGCGTTGCCTTGCTTTCCATTGCTTTCCCTTTCCCTTGCTTTCCCCTGGTTTCCCTTGCGGTCCCTTGCTTGCTGTCCCTTGCTTTCCTTTGCTTTGCCTTGCTTTGCCTGTGCTTTCGCTTGCTTTGCCTTGCTGTCCCTTGCTTTCCCTTGTGTTTCCCTTGCTTTCCCTTGCTTTTTTGTTGCTGTCCCTTGCTGTCCCTTGCTGTCCCTTGCTTTCCTTTGCTTTCCTTTGCTTTGACTTGTTTTGCCCGTGCTGTTGCTTGCTTTCCCTTGCTGTCCATTGCTGTCCCTTGCTTTGCCTTGCTTTCCCTTGCCTGGCTTGCTTTCCCCTACTTTCGCTTCCTTTGCCCTTGCTTTCCCTTGGTTTGCCTTGCTTTGCCTTGCTGTCCCTTGCTGTCCCTTGCCAGCTTGACCCAAGTCAGAGCAAACCAACAACTGCACAACCCTGCACTGAATCACATACAAGCAACAACCCAAACCAGCGCCCGTACTTACACACCCCGTGTCGTCTCCCTGGGACCTGCAAACCAGCCTTGCGGTGGCAGAAAGTGCTCCAAAAAATACTCCCAAAAAATGGGGGCATTTTTCCTGCGACATCCCCAGCATCGCCGACCACCACAAAAACTTCCAAAACAAGCGACATCCCCTGCATCCCCGGCATCCCCTGCATCCCCGGCACCCCTTGTGCGCCCAAGTCCGGCGAGGCCGGAAGCAAAGTAAAATGATGTAAAACTGGCACGCTTTTTGGCCCGCGAGCCACAGACGAAAAGGTCAGACATGATAGGCAGCGTCGACGAAAAAGCGCGAAAAACACAGGGGAAAAAAACACCAAAAACCAGCCTTGCGGTGGCAGAAAGTGCTCCAAAAAATACTCCCATTTTTTGGGAGTATTTTTCAGCTGACCAGACCTGCAAATCTCCCGGAACGAGGTTACCCCCCCCCCCACACCCCCCCCCCCTACAATTTCGTACACTAACTCCCAGCGCTTCAAGAAGCGCTTTCCGTCATCCGAGGAGCCACACCTTGACAGCATCAATTTCGAGTGGCCCTCTTCTTTCTTCCCGCTCAAGGAAACATGTCTAAAGGTGGTCATATCACAACAAAGGTAGCGCCCCACTGCAGCCGCAGAAGGCGAGCTTAAGGGGCGTGGTTGATTTCTTTTCCAGAATTGCCTTATGCTGTTGCGCTTTGATGAGGGCATGAAAAGGGCTTCTTAAAGACTTATCACAGTGGCGGGTCGGGAGAAGCCATGTTTGGTCCTCTTTGACTTACCAGCTCGGATTGTGTTAGGTAAAAGGGAGCAGACACATAGCGTAAACTTGCCCCAGGCTGCTGGTTTTGCCAAGCATGGTGCGTTGACTAGCAAACCGTGCGCACGAAACCCCTCGCAAAAGTCCATTTTTAGAAGCAACTTGCGTGCAGAAGAACTTCTAGAAGCATGCTCGCGGAAGCTACCCTTCTCCCCGCGGAAGCTTCGCGGAAGGGTTTGCTACGTCCATTCAAATTTAAGGGGAAGTATGGCCACCACTCGACTGATTTTGCAATGCCCTTGCTGGTCTTAAAAGAAACGAAGGCCTTTCACGTCACAGCGCTCAGCCGGAGGCCAGATAGTGTTAATACCCGAACACGCTGAGTCCTGCTTGGCCGAGACACGCACTCTGGCCTTCCGTCGTGGTTGTCGCACAAGAGCGCTCAGGTTTGTCGTGGGCGCTTCGCGTGGTTTCAGTCGTAGCTTTCGGCGTTGCCGACTTGCTTGGTCAGACTGCGCCAGCATTTTTAGTGTCCTTTGACAAGATCCCTCCAGGAAAAGCCACTTCCTGGGTTAATTCTAGCGGGTGCTGCGCGAGTCGGCCACGATCCGACTGCGATCCTGCCCCACACGCCATAATCTAGCAATATGATCTTGGCGCGATCCGGGCGCGATCCGGGTACGATCGTTTGGGCACCCAAATAGACGGTTGCACAGCCCCATCTCCGACCGCCGTGTTTTGCACATAACTGACACTTCATGACGTGTCCGGGGTTGGGCGCGTGAAAGAACACAACCCCGGCGCCCAATTCGGTTCACTACCGGTTTCTTGCACTTGTTTTTTGCGCAGTATCTGCGCACAGTTTGCAGCGGCAGAACCTGGTCAGTGTTGACTCAGCCCCGCACCCCGCTTAGATGTAAAGTTTGCCCCGTGTGTCCCGCTTCCGCGCGCCAACAAACACCGTTCACAATGGCCACAACGGGCTCGGGTATTTTAAGCTCCTTGCCTGCGGGCCCCAAAACTTTTGAGCAAGACACAGGCGGTTAGGAAACCATGAGAAGGCGGCTAAATGAAGCCAAGGCTGAGCCGAAGCCTGCGTTCCAGATTGCCGCATTGCCCTGGAGAAGGTTGGCTGAATCAAAGCCATCGCATGCCAAACATTCCGTTCATGTTCACCGCCACCAAAAAAAAGGTGGGGTATAGCTGTTGTCAAGCAACTGGCGTCTACTGTCAGGATTCCGCCCCATAGCCCGCTTCTCCCCGCAACCCGCTCCTTAAAAAACACCGGATGTTTGGGAAGCTACGTGCCGGCCAGACTGAGGCTAGCATAACACATGAAGTTCGGCTGAACGAAACTGAAATTGACATGTTTGCTTGGTCACCTGGCATGCCCATTTGATAGGCTTCTTAGCTGTCTATGTTGCCAAAATAGTCCGATTGAATCCCTTCTTGCTTCACAGATCAACCTCGGCGTGGCAACTCTCCTTTGCTGCAACACGCGCGCTCAGGCGTTCATTGTCTTCCAAATAGCTCAGCCAAAGAGCTACGCATTGTGCCCGAGTAGTTCCCAGTCAACATTTGAAATGGTTGAGTCTCTTTGCAACCTGCAGCCAGTAAGTTTCGATGCATCACTATGACACTATGAGCTGCTTGCTGAAAAAACTGCTTGGACCTGTATCTCTTGCTCACACTGGATTGCTGAATTGCCGACAGCGCATTGACAGTGCAACGTGTCTGCTCTTGCGCAAATTCTTTTGGCAAAACGCACAGCAGCCAGTAGTCCGCCGGTCCGCAATCAACGCTTGGAACGGTTTGGTCGCAGCTGTGACACTGCCGGCTGGCTGGCGTGCCGGGGAGCACCCGCTGCATGGTTG